CATGTTATTTTTGTGCTTGCATTTTATATTTGTTACATTTGTCTTGTTTCAATTAAATAATAAATGAAAATATAAAATTTAATCAAAAACCTACATGAAGGCCAGCAGGTGGTGTGGAGGGTAGGGTGCAGGATTCCCACATGGCCAACCACCATTCCAGTCCCAGACCTGGAGACTTGCCTTCTCACTTCTCTCTCTCTCTCTCTCTGGTCAAATTTAAAAAAATAATCATAATAAATAAAATTAAATAAATCATTCTTTTTTAAAACAAAAGAAGGAGCTAGCAGGTGGCATGGTGGTTGGGGTGCTGGGCTCACACATGGCCAACTGTGGTTTACTTTTTCACTTTCTCTCTTTGTGTCTCTCTCTGGTAAGTGTACATGCCCTATAGCAAATTAAATAATAATAATAAATTAATTATTATTTTTTTTAAAAAGCCTACATGAAAAGAGCTGGTAGGGGCTAACTGGACCCATGGGATATGTCCTGGGTTTATATCCTGGGAATGGATTGTGGCATGAAGACCCTGTTGACAGTGCTTCTTCTCCCTCCCTCTCTCTCTCTCTCTCCCTCTGATAGAAAAAAGAAACACACTTTTTAAAAAACGATGAAGCTCATAGCAGCATAGTTTGTCATAGCACACAACCCTGGAAGAGAAGTATTCATCAACAATAGCATGGCTAATATGATTCCATTTGAGTCCAAAAACATAAAATCAAATTGTAGTGCTCAGAGATTTATATTGGGGTGGTTCAACTTGGAAAACAAGAACATGGTTGGCAGAAAGGTGAGACTAGCAGTTCCCTCTGAGAGAATAGAGGCTGTCCTCATCAGAGAGGACGCGTCGAGGTTGTGGGAGCTAGCAAATTTCTTCTTGATTGTGTGGTAGTTATATTGGTATCTCCTTTACAGTTATTCTTCAAACTATACATACAGAGTTTTGTACTTTTTTGGGGTATTATTCATCCCAACTAAAAAGAAGACCTGCGTGCCAGGTGTAGAATGGTACACATAATATTTAGGCGTAAAGGGAATGAGATGAAAGAGGTATGTGGAGATTGTCTTTGTTATATTATGTTTCATGAGCTGATAGGTGAGTACATGGATTTTGATTTATCTATAATTGTTTATGTCTAAAATATTTGAATCAGGGGGCCAAAGGGCATAGCAGTAAATGTGACACTCTGCAGCAGACTCAGGAGAAAAAATTTGGATTCAAGTCCAGGGATCTCCTGGAATACACTAGGCATGCTCTTCCCCATGAGCCAGGGCGGACTGAAGAGTGGATCACAGAGTCAAGACCCTGCTTAGGGTGCTAGCACTTTCTCTCTCACTCACTCATGGAAGTAATAAGTAAGCTTAAAAAAAAGAAAACTCTTGGGAACCAGCAGTTAGCGTAATGGCTATGTCGCTGGACTCCCACATAGTCAACCGCCGTTCGCATCCCGGACCCGGTGGCTTAAAACTCGCACCGGGCAGGTGTGTGTTCGTGCCCAAGATCCCGAGAGGAGAATGGAGGAGAAAGGATTGCAGTGTGACCATCTCCCCTGGGGGGTGATTTCTTGCTTTTTGTCTCTCTGTTTCTCTCTGTCTGTCTGGCGAGTGCACGCGCCCTATAGCGAAAACCTCTCAAAAAATATATAAATAAATAATGTATAAAACTCTTAAAATATTTGAATCAAAATTAAAACTAAAGGAAAGTAATGTGGAAGATAGTTGCTTTTGCTAATGTTTTCAATTCCCTTTATTGTTGTTAAAACATTAATTCAGTAAGTTAAAATTAGGAGAGAAAATTCAGAAGCTGAATCAGCACTTTGGGGAGACATGACAAACAATAGACTCCAGGTTTCTAATCTTAAGGCTTGATGCCTGTAAGACTCTGTGTGGTTGACTCTTGAGGGAAAAGTAAACCTCTGGGTGTAACTGCCTGTATTCCCAGAGAGGCCCCTAGTCCAGTGATCCCTCCTTCAGTCTCCCTGACTCTTTTTCCTGCTGCCCTTCAGTGAGCTGGCCTGGAAGTCATTCCAAGGGGCGGGGGGACAGGGGGCCTAGTTACTGCCAGTAAAGGGTCCTGCTCTCCCTGAAAGCCTGCTCCAACCCTTTCCTACTCACTCAGCCAGCCCTGTTCCAGGCTGCTGACCTTAGATTTCCCCACAGCAAGTAAACAAAACCAAATGGGAAAGTGTGTTCCTAAAGGAAATCCTCAGGAGAAATGGAAGATGCATTCAGCATTCCCTCCCTCTTCCTAACTTCCAAAGCTCTGGGCTTCCCTTCCTATTTTCTTTATACAGCCTTGCTTTTTGGGTGTTAGAGTAACTGTCTCCCTGCTAGCCTCCTTAGTTCTGTGGTTTTCCTCATAAGGATTCCTGGGGGTGGAGAGGCCATCTGGCAGAGTGGACAACTAAGGGAACTGATCCAAGTAACTCCATGTCAAGTTACTTAATGAACTAACCCTAGGTCTGCCCAGACTTCTTCTTATGTAAGAAAAGAAAATTCCCTTGTTTTAAACCACTCTGGGTTGTGCTTTGTGTTAAAGCTGAAACATTCTAACTACCGTAAGAGTGGAAAGAAGAAATTTTGTTGTAGGTACTTTTGAGAAAGTCTAGAGTATGCAGTGGTAGATAAGAGAAAGTCTGGGGCTCAGCAGGTAGCGTGGTGGTTAAGGCACTGGAATTCCCACATGGCCGACCACAGTTTGAGTCCTGGACCTGGTGGCTTGCTATCTCCCTCTCCCTCTCCCTCTCTGTCTTTCTGTGGCAAAACTCACATGAAAAGTAAATAAATAAGTAAAATAATTATTAAAAGGCAAAAGGAGAAAGTCTCAAAGTCCCCCCTTTTTTTAATTGCCAGAGAGCACCTGCACTTGCCAGAGATAGAGAGACAGGAAGAAAACACCTCCCCCCCAGTGGGGTGTGGTCATGCTGCAATCTCTTGTCCATTTCTCCATCCTGTCAGGATTTTGGGCAGACCTGGTGCATTTGTTTTCAAGCTGCCAGGGACCAACTTTTTTTTTTTTTTTTTTTAGAAGTTTTTGCTATAGGGCGCGTGCGCTCGCCAGACAGACAGAGAGAGACAGAGAGATGGAAAGCGAGAAATCACCCTCCAGGGGTTATGGCCACTCTGCAATCCCTTCTTCTCCATTCTCCTCTCGGGATCTTGGGCACACACGCACATGTGCCTGGCGTGAGTTTTAAGCCACCGGGTACAGGACGCGAACCGAGGTCAACTATGTGGGAGTCCAGTGACATAGCCATTACGCTAACTGCTGGTCCCAGGGACAAACATTTGAACTGCTGTGTGGGATCTGGCTCCCTTAACCACTAAGCCACAAGACCAGTCCATCAAGGATCTCTCTTTAAGGCAATGCTACCCAAAATGTGGTTCATAGGCCTGCAGGATCAGAATTGCCCCAAGTTCATTAGAAATGCAAAATCAAGGGCTTCACTGCAAACAGATCAAATCAGATTTTATGAGGGTGGGACTGGGAATCAGTTTGGTTTATTTTTAAAGTTAATTTATTTTTTCCATGAGTGAAAGAGAGAGAGAGAGAAAATCCTTAACAGGATCTGGATACCACTGTCCACTCCCACTTCGGCCATCTCTGGGTCACCAGCCTGTGAGTGTGAGGTCTTCTTAGGGGAACCCAGAACCTTCTCATGTGGGTCAGCCTTGGCCATGTGGTACCACTGGGTCACCACAGGCCACTGGAATCCGTACTTTAACAAGGCGCCCCTCCGGTGAGTTCGATACAACTATCTTTGGAGGAAAGGCTGTCTAGGAAACATCTGCAGCTGGGAGTGTGGTTGGACCAACAGAGGAAGTGCTGTGCCAGTGGCTCCTCTCCCACCTCTTGGAAGCCGGCTAACCCACAGGACTGTTTTATTTTCTGTCACAACCACGTGAGAATCAGGTAAGGAACTGGATGTGCAAGTGGTATGAAAAAGCCAAAAACCTGATTCCCTGAACTGACCAGCCCCCGACAGCTTTCCCCCTATCAGGGCCACAGCATCCGACAAGGAGGTGCAGGATGAGGCTGGACTCTGCCTCACCAGCCTGCCAGCTTCTCCGGGAGGGGCAGGTCTCTCCATCCGTGCGTCCTGCCATCCAGGAGGAACCGCCAGGGTTTTGGGTGTGGGGGCACTGTCATTATCCTATTTTGAATATTTTTGTCCCGATTCCTGCGTGAGTCAACCAGAAACGGCTGGCTGTGCCCTTGGAGCTTGAGGAGGGCCAGTGGCTGTCGCAGAGCTGTCTCCCTGTCCTGCAACCTCAGTGACCTCAGCGCTCCTCCGGGCACAGCCTCCAAGGAAGATGCCCAGGCCTTCATTGAGGAGACCCCAGACAGACTGCCCTGGAGACAGACAAACGAGTAAATGGCGAGCCCTTGCTAGGGAGCCACCCCAGAGCCAACGCGAAGCACCGTTCTGAGGAGGTGGCGGCGCGCCCCCACCGGGTCTACCCCGCGGGCGAGAGGTGGCGGGTGGAGAGGGCGCGCCCAGCCTCCAAGGAAGATGCCCAGGCCTTCATTGAGGAGACCCCAGACAGACTGCCCTGGAGACAGACAAACGAGTAAATGGCGAGCCCTTGCTAGGGAGCCACCCCAGAGCCAACGCGAAGCACCGTTCTGAGGAGGTGGCGGCGCGCCCCCACCGGGTCTACCCCGCGGGCGAGAGGTGGCGGGTGGAGAGGGCGCGCCCTCTGGGCTGATGGCCAATCAGAGCAGGGTAGACCACTCAGGCGCAGGCCAAACGCGCTGCCTGCTTTGCGACTGGGCAAGCTTCCTGCCAACCAGGGCGGAGCTTGCGAGGGCTGGGCCAATAGCAGGCGACGGCCGGGTCAGACCAGCGGCCCCGCGGTCTGCGCGGTGGTGGGCAGTGGTCCGCGCTGAGGAGCGGCCTCCCTCCCGCCCGCGCGCTGGCTCTCGGCCCCTCTGGCCCGCCCGCGGGTGACCGCGTCATGCC